GATCATTTCTTTGTCAGTGGGCAAACGTACAAAATCAGCAGGGGATCAAATACTTTTTTCCCTCACTGTAATTAAACAGTTCTCCTCACTGCGTCCGATTGATACTGTAGCCTAACCTAACCTAAATTTCTCTGTATTTAGTATGGGCCAACATTTCACAATACAGTGCATTGGGAAACTATTCAGACCCCTTGACTTTTTCCACATTTTGTTACTTTACAGCCTTATTCTAAAATTGATTAAATATATTTTTTTCCTCATCAATCTACACACAATACCCCATAATGACAAAGCAAAAACTGGTTTTTCGAAATGTTTGCAAATGTATTAAAAATAAAAGCCGGAAATATCACATTTACATAAATATTCAGACCCTTTACTCAGTACTTTGTTGAAGCATCAAGTCTTCTTGGGTATGACGCTACAAGCTTGGCACACCTGTATTTGGAGAGTTTCTCCTGTTCTTCTCTGCAGATCCTCTCAAGCTCTGTTAGGTTGGATGGGGAGTGTCACTGCACAGCTATTTTCAGGTCTCTCCAGAGTTGTTCGATCGGTTTCAAGTCCGGGCTCTGGCTGGACCACTCAAGGACATTCAGAAACTTGTCCCGAAGCCACTCCTGTGTTGTCTTGGCTGTGTGCTTAGGGTCGTTGTCCTGTTGGAAGGTGAACCTTCGCCCCAGTCTGAGGTCCTGAGCGCTCTGGAGCAGGTTTTCATCAAGGATCTGTCTGTACTTTGCTCCGTTCATCTTTCCCTCGATCCTGACTAGTCTCCCAGTCACTGCCGCTGAAAAACATCTCCACCGCATGATGCTGCCACCACCATGCAACACCATAGGGATGGTGCCAGGTTTCCTCCATATGTGAGGCTTGGCATTCAGGCCAAAGAGTTCAATCTTGACCAGAGAATCTTGTTTCTCATGGTTTGAGAGTCTTTCGGTGCCTTTTGGCAAACTCCAAGCGGGCAGTCATGTGCCTTTTACTGAGGAGTGGCTTCCGTCTTGCCACTCCACCGTAAAGGCCTGATTAGTGGAGTGCTGCAGTGATGGTTGTCCTTCTGGAAGGTTCTCCCATCTCCACAGAGGAACGGGTTCTTGGTCACCTGCCTGACCAAGGCCCTTCTCCCCCGATTGCTCAATTTGGCCGGGTGGTCAGATCTAGGTCGAGTCTTTGTGGTTCCAAACTTCTTCCATTGAAGAATGGTGGAGGCCAGTGAGTTCTTGGGGACCTTCAATGCTGCAGAAATGTTTTGTTACCCTTCCCCAGATCCGTGCCTCGACACAATCCTGTCTCGGAGCTCTATGGTAATTCCTTCGACCTCATGGCTTGGTTTTTGCTCTGACATGCACTGTCAGCTGTGGGACCTTTATATAGACAGGTGTGTGCCTTTCCAAATCATGTCCAATCAATTTAATTTACCACAGGTGGACTCCAATCAAGTTGTAGAAACATCTCAAGGATGATCAATGGAAACAGGATGCACCTGAGCAAAATGTTTCGAGTCTCATAGCAAAGGGTCTGAATACTTATGTAAATAAGGTATTTCAGTTTTTTTATTTTTAATACATTTGCAAACATTTCTTTGGAAAAAGTCAATGGGTCTGAATACTTTCCAAATGCACTGTATATTCATGAACCTTTTTAATTACAAATAATGAACCGTTTTGTGCTTAACCTTGTTACATAGGCTCATATGTGATTATGAACTCTATGCTGGCTGGATTCCAACTGATTCTCACAAACATCGTCTCACTTGTTCCTGGCAGTGTTGGCTGAAGTGATCTAAATCGCTGTCCTCTACCGACTTGCTTTCTTCACTCCAGAGTTGAATTGCAGTTAGCTTCACAGTGATTTATTGATGGCTAAATCCTGCTACAGAGTAGGGCAACCCTTGTGATCTATGTGTTTCTAGGGCAACCCTTGTGATCTATGTGTTTCTAGGGCAACCCTTGTGATCTATGTGTTTCTAGGGCAACCCTTGTGATCTATGTGTTTCTAGGGCAACCCTTGTGATCTATGTGTTTCTAGGGCAACCCTTGTGATCTATGTGTTTCTAGGGCAACCCTTGTGATCTATGTGTTTCTAGGGCAACCCTTGTGATCTATGTGTTTCTAGGGCAACCCTTGTGATCTATGTGTTTCTAGGGCAACCCTTGTGATCTATGTGTTTCTAGGGCAACCCTTGTGATCTGTGTGTTTTGTAAAGAGCATGTGTCCCCATGGCATTGTCACAACCTTGGACTGTACGACCTGTGTGGTCCTCCGCCTCCCTGTGTCCCAGCGTGTTTAACTGCTTTGGTTAAAAAAGCGTGACAAAGAAGCATATTAGCGGTATCCCTCAATGGGTAGCCTTAACCACTTCTTGGATTAAAAGAAGGCCAGGGCTTTAGTGGTGTTGAGTGCTGCTTGTGAAAGAGAGAGAATGCAGCCGTCGCCGGAGTCTTTGAAAATGCAACCATTCTTATAGTCACTTCTGACATGAATCCTGGTTCTAAAAATCTATGATCCGTAGGCTAATTTTACTCGATGGAAGGAAGGAAGGAAGGAAGGAAGGAAGGGTGCATTATTAAAGTATTGACACTGGGCCTGCCTCTCTGACGGTTGTCTGTTTACCAGGGAAACCAGCCGCTCTACTGTAACTATCAACACGACATGCTTTGCTTACACAGAGGGTGCGGCCTGGTTAACACGGATGCTGTGTTTGTGTGGGTCACATCAGTCTCTGCTGGCCTGTCCGTGTACAGCAGAGGGCCGCAGTGTGTATCTTATGGATGTGACAAATGTACATGTTTTATTGACGTTTAATCTGCCAGTTATTTATAATTTAAATGTTGTTGTTTTTTACAATACTAAAATGAGGTGAATTCACATTTCAGAAATGGTCCTGCGTATGACTGCTAGGGGGCAATGCAGTTCAATGAACCGCAGTCATGGCTACCTACCAGCTCGACGGAGCTCACCTTACTGCTGTCCCCCATCCAATCAGCAACGGTGGTATTAATGTCGTTTTAGGGTCTCTGTTGTGTGCCTCTCCTCCATGTTCTCAGTGGTCAGTACATGGGACTTCACTCACCAATGTGGTGGCTTGTTGCAGTGATGTGCGACAGCGTGTTCAATAGACGTCCAGCAATCTGTTGTTAACGCCACGTATGGTGTTTGAGAGCTCGCGCTTTGTACTTGCAGAGCGATCATTGTACAAGTCTCCATCAGGACCCTTCACAGTTTTTTTCGACATGGCATCTTGTCGTCCGGTTCTAGATAGGCCGTCAGGGTATTGAAGCCGACATCCTCTACCATTGACAATGGCTGCATATCAACTGTAATCATTTCTGTAATGAGCGCTGTGATTTTCTCACTCCGTCCCTCATCGCTCTGCTGCCAGCAACGGGTTTGGTCTCACGGCGCCTCCCTTTCAGCATTGCACCTGTACTGCCACTGCAGCTCAATTACACTTCACAAAGTTTGCATTTCATTACCTTCTCATTTAACATCTCAAAGTATTGCCGTACAGGTCTTCGCTGCTGTCGCTTCCTTGTTTCAATCTCTGCCATTTTTCCAACAGTTAACGACGATGACGTGTGGAGCGCTTTATAGCCGAGGCAAATCATTTGAAAGATGCATATCTCCTACTTACAGCATTATTGCGTTAGGTATTTGTTACATTTAAATGTTTTGCCTTTATGATGATCAGGACATGTTAGTGGTATTTCTGTGATAACTGCACTGGGATTTTAATTTTGTAAAAAGAACAACACTTAGTTAGGGATTTTTTCTAAACGTAATGATCCCAAATTAATTTCAACATTTAAACATCACACCCCTAGTGTATGTTGTGGCAGAAAAACAATTTATGCCAGATGGTGAAGCGTGATTCATCACTCCAGAGAACGCGTTTCCACTGCACGAGAGTCCAATGGCGGCGAGCTTTACACCACTCCAGCCGACACTTGGCATTGAGCATGGTGATCTTAGCCTTGTGTGCGGCTGCTCGGCCATGGAAACCCATTTCATGAAGCTCCCAACGAACAGTTATTGTGCTGATGTTGCTTCCAGAGGCAGTTTGGAACTCAGTAGTGAGTGTTGCATCCGAGGACAGACGATTTTTACACGCTACACGCTTCAGCACTCGGCGGTCCTGTTCTGTGAGATTGTGTGGCCTACCACTTTGCGGCTGAGCCGTTGTTGCTCCTAGACGTTTCCACTTCACAATAACAGTACTTACAGTTGACCAGGGCAGCTCTAGCAGGGCAGAAAGTTGACGAACTGACTTGTTGGAAAGGTGGCATCCTATGACGGTGCCATGTTGAAAGTCACTGAGCTCTTCAGTAAGGCCATTCTACTGTGTGCTCGATTTTATACACCTGATACATTGAAGCTGTTCTGGCTCGTGGTGGCCCAACGCCCTATTAAGACACTTTATGTTGGTGTTTCCTTTATTTTGCCAGTTACCTGTATCTGTTCTTTGTCTCTGATGCCCCTCAGTGGAAAGAGAGTTACTAAATGAGTTCTGTAGTGCTTATTATAAAACTGCCAGTGAAAGGAATCGAGTCTGCTTTCATAAGACTTTCTATGAATCATTGTCTTACTGCAAAACCAACCCTGTTTGGTGACCCCTAGTAACTGACTGTTTGGTGACCCCTAGTAACTGACTGTTCGGTGACCCCTAGTAACTGACTGTTTGGTGACCCCTAGTAACTGACTGTTTGGTGACCCCTAGTAACTGACTGTTTGGTGACCCCTAGTAACTGACTGTTTGGTGACCCCTAGTGTTCATTGTCAGTGTTACCATAGTAACAGAGGTTTGCCTGCTAACATTTTCAACAATGACTGATAGGCTTACAGAAGGAAAGATGAAATCATGCAATCTTTATTATATTGTATCATATGTTAAGATGTAGCTTAATGAAATAAACTGTATGATATGAATATCTGAAATAAATCATAAATAAGTAGCAAGGGGCAGCAGTAGCCTGGTTTCAGAGTCACTTCTTTCTCTCTCGTGCTCAGGGGACTCCTTCACTCAATTCCGTTTTTCTGAGGAGAAGGAGTGGGAGATGGACTCATTGGCGACCAATCAGGTAAATATGATATTGCCTTTCCTCTGTTCCTCTTCAAGTTGTCTTTCCAGTATAGATCACTCTCTCTCTCTCTCAGTGAACGGTCCAGTCAGCTCTACCAGTGCTCAATAAGATCTTGTTGCCAATAGTGTTTGATGTGTTTATCTGTCTTCAGAGAGTGATTAGGTAGTGGCTAGGGCGTTGTTTTGGTACTAGTCTATTTTGTCTCAGGAGTTGATCAGTGCTCTCTCCCCCTCCCCCTCTCCCTCTCCTCCCTCTCTCTCCTCCCATCTCTCCCTCCCTCACGCCTCCCCTCTCTCCTCCCCTCTCTCCTCCCCTCTCTCCCTCCCTCTCTCCCTCCCTCTCTCCCCCTCCCCCTCTCCCCCTCCCCCTCTCCCTCTCCTCCCTCTCTCTCCTCCCCTCTCTCCCTCCCTCTCTCCTCCCCTCTCTCCCTCCCTCTCTCCTCCCCTCTCTCCCTCCCTCTCTCCTCCCCTCTCTCCCTCCCTCTCTCCCTCCCTCTCTCCCCCCCTCCCCCCTCTCCCTCTCCCCTCCCTCTCTCTCCTCCCTCTCTCCCTCCCTCCTCTCCTCCCCTCTCCTCCCTCCCTCTCTCCTCCCCTCTCTCCCTCCCTCTCCCCCTCTCTCTCTCCCCTCTCCCTCTCTCCCCTCTCTCTCCCACCCCCTCTCCCTCCCACCCCCTCTCTATCTCCCCTCCACCCCCCTCTCTATCTCCCCCTCCCTCAGTTGTCAGCAGTGTTTGTGGACCTCCCAGCCCTGGCCCAGTCTCTACAGGAGCTGCCTCTTCACCTCAGACTGAACCTGGAGCCTGAACTAGTCCAGGTAGGTACTGATGCAGTCTGACTTACTTGACTTCAACCTTTTTGCTCCATTGGGTTTGGTGTTGGACACATTGACTACCTCGGGCATCTAGACTAGCGTATTCAGAAGTGTTGTAATATTACCATGGAAACCTCAAAAGTGTTGAATTATTTCTGTTATCAGAGCATTCCCAGATAGTCATTGTCTAAGTATGGGTAATGTAATGGTCAGTCACCAAGTGTGTTTGGGTTGAATCCAGATGATTAATCTAATCCTGTGGTTATATATCAGGTGACCTCTCCGGTGGAGCTACCCACTATGACCTTGGCACCCAAACAGGACTCTGTAGCGCTGGGTATGTTCAAGCCTCCTGTCCCAGCAGCTCAGAAAGGCCTTACTCCAAGCCTTGGCGTTTCCTGTGCTGTGAGCACAGCCCCATGCACTGTTCCTCTGGGCTCCTCAGCAGCCAAGACTCCTGTGGTGGATGACATGGATAAGGAGTTGGACCAGCTGCTCACCCTACAGAGCCCATTCTCAGAACCTTCTGGCAGGCTTGTGGAGGTTCCAGATAAACGTGAGTACTGTTCTGCAACGTTGTAATTAGATTATACAAGGTTGCAGATCAATTCAGTGCGGGAAAAAATACCTTGTTGCTTCAACAACCCATCACTTAACAGTAACCTAAAGAAAGGCGTTGATAATTTGCTAGCAACATACAGAGAAACAAGATGGAATGTTGTTGGTTCATCCACTTTATCTGTGTGAGTACTAGGGAGAGTGCAACTTTCTGTGGTTTATTTTTTTTTCCATCAGCATTAGAGGAGAGGGAGGAGCTGGTTCCAGAGGAGGAGAGGGAGGATAAGAAGCAGGAGACACAGCAGGTCAAGGAGGAGATTCAGAAGGAGGATGTGGCTGCACCTCCTAAGGCAGAGGTAGCAAAGGAGGTGGTGACAGAGGAGGACCTGGAAGACTGGCTGGACAGCATGATCTCCTGACCTCTGACCCTGTCACACAGCCTGGCCTGGGAGCAGGACCGTCCAGTCCCCCTCAGCCCGCAACTCAGCCCCCAACTCAGCCTTAACAGTCACGATGACCTCTGACCCTGTCACACAGCCTGGCCTGGGAGCAGGACCGTCCAGTCCCCCTCAGCCCGCAACTCAGCCCTTAACAGTCACGATGACCTCTGACCCTGTCACACAGCCTGGCCTGGGAGCAGGACCGTCCAGTCCCCCTCAGCCCTCAACTCAGCCCCCAACTCAGCCCTTAACAGTCACGATGAGGAGTACCTCCCTTAGCTCCGTAACTCAGCCCCCTAACAGTCTTACATCATATTCTACTCCACCACTGCACAGTCAAGACATGGAGCACTGCTTATATAACAGCAGATTCATTAATTGACATTTCATGATGGACAATCATTAGATCGACTTTGGATGAAGGCATTGTTGATTTAAGATAGCCAATTATAGAATATACTTTTCACAAATGCTGTTGTTGGGAGTTCTTTCCCTCCCATTTGACTGATTCACATGTCAAATCCCATGTTGTCTCCATCCTACCGACTACCCTGGATGGTCTGATAGCCTGAACTAGTGGCTTGTGGCTACAGAGATGGGACTGTGGGTCTGGCAGCAGAGCTCTGTGAGCTGATGTTTAACCGCGCTTTGTACCCTTCAAAGGATGGATCTTCTATTCCTTTTGCCTTGTCAGACACTGAAAGGGAGTCACACAGATTTCCCCTCTGAAAGGTTTCTGTAATGGGATCGGTGTTGTGAGTCAGTTGACAGCCCGTGGAATACAGACATGGTTTATTGGTTACTTTAGTCATTTCCATCCTCCCTTCTCGAAGATAAATGCAGTTTACCAAAGCTACTACATATATAAATAGCCATACAATAGCAGCTCACTGCTTTTCTGTCTTTGTGTGTTCAATAAATCCTGAACTGTGTTTTTTCCTCAGCGTGTAATTTCTACTACGGAAAGAACTGTGTACAGGCAGGCAAGGACACTATAGTTTGGGAACAATGGGTATATAGATTTTACACAACATATATATATTTTATTTTTTTCCTAAAAAGCTATCCCTACTGTAGCTAGGTCATTCTAATCTAATCCACAACCTAGAGCACTAAGGGTGTCAAGGTTTCTCATTTAAGGCACATTGGCACATGATAAACAACTATAAAGGGGCTCAAGACTTACTCTTGAGGGACCCCTTTTTTTAAATGTCTCATCTCACCAAAGCTAATCAGATTCAGACCAAGTTCAAGAAAAAGGTAGAATGGGTCTAATTTAATTTCTAGTGAAGTTTCATCATTTATCACCACCACAATTCACATTCTAGCGTCAATCTTGTATTTTGGTTCTCAGTTAATATCTAGGGTATTAATATCATAGCTTGTGCATTCGATCACCCCTCAAGCTGTAACCCTACACATATCAATGTCTCCACTCTACCACACGACACACATTGTTCAACAGTTTTGGGGTTAAGCAAGTGTCATCATAACAGATCAAATTAATATAAAACCATGTGTGTTCAAAGAGCGAACAAGGTGTCATCGACATGGTGTCACCGTGGCAGGTGACTTATCTTGACTTTACTTTCAATATAAATCCAAACACCAAGTCCAATCGTCGTCTTCATCGTCAGTCTCTCCTCGGTAGTGGCTGGCCATTTCGATAGGTGAAACTGTATGATGGATACAACGGCAGCAGAAGAGCTATGTGGAGCTAGTTGTCATGTTCCGTTAAGGTTCAAGTGAGTTAGTCTTTCTCAGAGAGTGTTGTAGGGTAACTGGGTGGTGTTCTGGTGTCCTCTCTACCCAGAGAGTGTTGTAGGGTAACTGGGTAATGTTCTGGTGTCCTCTACCCAGAGAGTGTTGTAGGGTAACTGGGTAGTGTTCTGGTGTCCTCTCTACCCAGAGAGTGTTGTAGGGTAACTGGGTGGTGTTCTGGTGTCCTCTCTACCCAGAGAGTGTTGTAGGGTAACTGGGTAGTGTTCTGGTGTCCTCTACCCAGAGAGTGTTGTAGGGTAACTGGGTAGTGTTCTGGTGTCCTCTACCCAGAGAGTGTTGTAGGGTAACTGGGTAGTGTTAGGTGTCCTCTACCCAGTGAGTGTTGTAGGGTAACTGGGTAGTGTTAGGTGTCCTCTTTACCAAGGTAGGGTTGTAGGGTAGCTGGGTAATGTAGTGTTAGGTGTCCTCTCTACCCAGGTAGGGTTGTAGGGTAGCTGGGTAATGTAGTGTTAGGTGTCCTCTCTACCCAAGCAGGTCCTCATACTGCTTCCTGAAACAGTCCCCAGCAGGGAAGAAGTCCCAGCATCTCTCCTGGTACATTTTCCACACATACGACTCCTGTCGAGGAAGAGGGAAATACACAAGAGTTAAAATGTTTCAGGAGTGAAAAGGTGTTTCAACTAGAAAAGGTAATTTTACATGAAGTCAAATTGTGTAGTGTGTTAAATAGACAACAGCATTTAGGAAAAGTCAAGGACAAAGGGGGACATGAGTTTAAAAATGGCAGCAATATTTCAATTTGAAATTCACATGACATTCAAAAGGCGTGACATCGTTGGCGGTTTATGGAGCGATTGCATTCATTTTTTTAAATATTAAAATTCAATATTTATATATTCAGTTTCAATATGGTAGATATTGCATTCATTGTGTATCAAGTTTACAAACTATATTATTTAAAGTTGATCAAAGTTTTTAATATATTCAACAGTTTTCAAATTCAGTTTGATAAATTCTGATTCAAAACCAGAGACAACATCCTGGTACTTTGCCAGCCAGGAAATGTAGAGGAGAACCGATATAATCAAACGCTTTGTGGTAAACAGAAGCTTCTGGCGGTGTCCGAAGCCAATGTGGCATGTTTCATTTACTGTCTTCCTATGAATTTGTCTCTAGCATTTGAACCAATATAAGCTATTATAGCTATATCCCATTCCTGAAAGCTTAGACTCTCTCGAACATGGACATGCCTTCCCACTGGGCACACACTGGTTGAATCAACGTTTTTTTCCACGTCATTTGAATGAAATTTCATTGAACCAATGTGGAATAGACATTGAATTGACGTCTGTGCCCAGTGGGTTCTGTTCCCATCTATGATGATCACAGGCCGCAAAGAACATGTAAGAAAGGAGTGTCACAAAAAACATAATTTGGCCCCCATAAGAATACAGTTGAATAGCCCTGTCATAGCCCTTCTAAGGATAGCCTTTCCATTCCCTATTTCATCTTTCTTTTGTGACTGACTGGGTTCGTACCAGGTCTCCTGCATGTCACAAGACTGTGTAAGCCCACTTAGCGAAAGCCCATAGGGATTAGTTCTGGAAGCTAACACAAGTCTTCAAGTCTCTAGCAAAGTTATTCATCAAAAGAGCATGGTTTATCTATCCACCTGTTACATTTCACCCCGATTTGACCTCATACTCAGAGAGCACGGCACTAATATAACTAACTGGGTTCCAAATCAGGCCTCCTGCACAACAACACTTTCAGTGGCAAACAGAAGCAGAAGGATCTGTGCACCATTTAATGAGAGTGCAACAGAGGTGGTTTGGTGATCCATGCACGTGATGAGCAACCTTGGCTGAGACCTGAAGACGTGTTAGTTTGACAGATGGGGTTCTAACCCAGGTCTCCTGTGCGCCAGACAATGCAATTTGTCAGGTCTCAGACCAGTTACTCATGTTCCAGAGAGTCTTAGCTTTCAGGAATGGGGTCATAATGGCTTATAGCCAAAACGGTTCAAACACTAGAGCCAAATTCATAGGGAAAAAATTAATTAACCATTCCACATTGGCTTCAGAATCCACCAGAAGCTTCTGTTTACCACAGAGAGCGTTTGATTCTGTCTGTGCTCCTCTACCTTTCCTGGCTGGCAAAGTACCAGGATGTTGTCTCTGGTTTTGAAATCCGAATTTAGAGAACTGAATTTGAAAACTGAATCTGAATGCATCTGAGAAGTTGAATACAGTATATGAAACTTTCATAAACTTGAAATGATAGTTTGTAAACTTGATACACAGAAAATGAATGCAACATCTACCGTATTGAAAAGGAATATATAAATATTGAATTTGAATATTCAATTAAAATTGAAATTGAATTTTAAAAATGAATGCAATATTCATTCAATTCAGTTTCAAATCATGAAATACAACATCAATTTATGAATTCAATGATTCAATTTGTGCATTACAAATTCAAACATATTCCATTCAAATTCAATATCCTAATACAAATTCAAAATTATGGAATTGAAATACAATTTCTGTTGGCACTCAAATCACTCCATAGTTCTAGTGCTAATGTTTCAGGACTGAAAAGTTGTTTTAATTACAGAGATTGAGACCTGTGTTCATATGATAAAGAAATTTGTTTTTGTACGTACCTGACCAGTGTGTTCAGTCTCGTCCTTGTTGATGAGGTACATCAGGAAGAAGCTGCGCAAGGAGAAAAGCGGTGTCAAAAGGTGGCCAGTTTGATCAAATATTAGCTCAGGCTTTCATCCAGAGCATCCTTGGTTAAGCACATCTAATTAAATTCAAAAACGAGACCCTTTTATGGCACAGCTCTGGTCGTATGTGCTTTAAACAACGTCATCATGTCACTATGTACTCACAGGTAGTTGGCCAGGTTGTGCTCTTGTAAGGTGTGAGTCTCAAAGCCGTGGGGTGTCGTGTCAAAGTAGTCGTTTCCAATACCACAGATGAAGCATTTAGTCTACAGCAAGAGGATGGAATGTGTTTACCCAATCAGATACATTCCCCTCCCCTAACAGATTGCGTTTATTCAAGAAGATGCAATGTTCTGTTGTGAAGAATATGCTTATTCCTAACATTGATACAGTTGGTTCTAGGTGAGACCAGGTGAACTCTTACCTCCATATCCTCCTTCACCTGCTCCTGCTGGTCTCTCAGTTCCCCAAACGCATCAATAATCAAACCTGTAGTATTGAACAAGACAGCATTTTAACTTCACAAGGATTACATGGGAAAGTCCTCTCAGCTGTTCTGAAAACCAGGGGCCTCAGAGTAGGAGTGCTGATTTAGGATCACACCTTTTTAGATCACAACGGGTAAGATTACATGGACGGGGGATTGGGGGGGGGGGGGACCTGATCCTAGATCCCCCAAAGAACCTAGTAATAGTTTAATTTGAGTTTATTCTAGTGTACATGGCAGCCAAAAGTTGAATTGTGTATACATCAGGAAATTCAAGAAAACTAATGTGATACAGTATCAAGAAAGTTCAGGGGTCAATTCCATTTAAATTCCAGTCGATTCAGAAAGTAAAACACATTCTAATTCTAATTCAAAATGTTATCTGTTGAAAAGCATTGAAGAGAATTTCAGTGTACTTCCTGAATTGACCCCAACCCTGGTCGTAGCGTACCCTGAATGATGGCCAGGAGGATGACAATGACGAAGAAGAAGAAGGTGATGTCAAAGAGGATACGCCACAGCTCGTAGGGGTCTCCCGCCGGGTCCTCCAGCTCATCACCGATACCACCGCCGGCCCTCACCCCCGCGTACAGGTGGAACAGATAGCACTGAGGAGGAGATACAGGTGGAACAGATAGCACTGAGGAGGAGATACAGGTGGAACAGATAGCACTGAGGAGGAGATACAGGTGGAACAGATAGCACTGAGGAGGAGATACAGGTGGAACAGATAGCACTGAGGAGGAGATACAGGTGGAACAGATAGCACTGAGGAGGAGATACAGGTGGAACAGATAGCACTGAGGAGGAGATACAGGTGGAACAGATAGCACTGAGGAGGAGATACAGGTGGAACAGATAGCACTGAGGAGGAGATACAGGTGGAACAGATAGCACTGAGGAGGAGATACAGGTGGAACAGATAGCACTGAGGAGGAGATACAGGTGGAACAGATAGCACAGAGGAGGAGATACAGGTGGAACAGATAGCACTGAGGAGGAGATGCAGGTGGAACAGATAGCACTGAGGAGGAGATACAGGTGGAACAGATAGCACTGAGGAGGAGATACAGGTGGAACAGATAGCACTGAGGAGGAGATACAGGTGGAACAGATAGCACTGAGGAGGAGATACAGGTGGAACAGATAGCACTGAGGAGGATATACAGGTGGAACAGATAGCACTGAGGAGGAGATACAGGTGGAACAGATAGCACTGAGGAGGATATACAGGTGGAACAGATAGCACTGAGGAGGAGATACAGGTGGAACAGATGGCACTGAGGAGGAGAAGCGAGGGAGGGGAGGAGGGGGCTTTAAAACTCAATCTTTCAAAAAAAGACTGATACAAGTGTAAACGTTGTGCTTTATGTAGTAAAGGATGAAGACGGGGCTTTTAAACTCCTCCTTATTCAACAATCTGAGTGATATACTGTACACTAGTGTGAAGGATATGCAGCAGGGTTGACACCATTTCTGGATCCCTTCCTACAACATGTTCTGTGAGTTGTGGAATGAACTCTAACCAAGCCATCTATTACTGGGTTATCTTAAGAACGTAATGTTTGAAGGATGTGCATGACTAACTGATACATGCTATGACACAGTATCAATACTACAGCAGTGAGTAGAGGTGTGTGTGTGTGTGTGTGAATAGACTTACAGTCATCATGTCGTCACACTTCATGTCAGGTGCGTCCTCGTCCTCACTCTTGTTGTAGAACTTCCTGAAGAAGTTGAAGGCCACCACGGTGTAGAGATACACCACCACCGCCAACAGACCTACAGTCAGCACCAACTGTACAGAGACAGAGAGAGAGACAGATAGAGAGGGGGAGAGAGACAAACATAGAAAGAGACAGATAGAGAGGGGGAGAGAGAGATGGAGAGAGACAGAGAGGGGGTCATTGTTAGTGAAGATGTTGAAGGCCACCACGGTGTACAGATACACTGCCAACAGACAGTCAGCACCAACTGGAGAGAGGAAATTAATATTCTCAGCATATAGAAATGTAAATTGTGTTGAGACCTGTGTCACATGCACTTTAAAAAAACATGACTTCACTTGACTTGAGAGAGGCTAACAACCGCGCTCCTCCACACTGGCTTCCAGTCGAAGCTCCCATCCACTACAGAGCATGGTACCTGCCTACGGAGCAGCAAGAGGAACTACCTTCAGGCTAAGCTCAAACCCTACACCCCAAACCGAGCACTCCGTTCTGCCACCTCTGGTCTCTTGGTCCTCCCATCCCTACGGGAGGGCAGCTCCTGCTCAGCCCAGTCCAAGCTCTTCTCTGTCCTGACACCCCAATGGTGGAACCAGCTTCCCCCTGAAGTTAGAACAGCAAAGTCCCTGCCCATCTTACGAAAATATCTGAAACCCTACCTCTTCAAAGAGTATTTTAAATAATCCCACCGCCCCACCCAAAAATAAAATAAAAGCCTTTTGAGAACTAAAACTAGCACTTGAATTTTTCCCTCCTTACTCGCTCTTACAGCTAGTGACCACATTGCAGAGCTGCCTCCAGAACAAGATTCATGACCAAAAAAAAACCGCTAACCTGCATTGAGATGTCCCCCTGATCTACAGTCTAGTGATTAAAACGTCTGTGTGGCCTTCTGACGGTGTCTGGTGGTTATTATTGCCACATGCCTGTTTTCCGTTGTGAGTGACGGAGGACAGGATGGTCCTCAGGGTCTTGAAGCCCATGGCGATGTCCAGAAGATGGGCGGCGAAGAAGAAGTTGTTGTAGTGACCCAGGATGGACATGGTGGCGTACCAGATCAGGTACAGGAACGACTGCAAATGACAAGAACAAGGAAAAGTCAAGCTCAGTCCGTTGCTTTTTCAGTCTAAAATCAACTTTTCCCTTTTGTGCTTGCCGATTGTAAGGGACTGGATAGTTGTAAGCAATATGGTGATGGCTCCAGCTAGCCTTCTAATGGCCTCAGGGTGGTTAGACCATACTGCTTACTACCTATCCAGAGCCTTATTGCCAGCCACAAACACTGAAGGGGGAGGGGCTGGGTTGACAGTTTTGGCTTTATTGAGGGAGTAAACACTTACGTTGTCAGTCAGCACCACTCCCATTTTCCAGATGTGGTACTTGGTGTCGATAGAGCTCAACCTGCCATTAGGAAACAGACAGTTGTTTCTTAGCGTTGAATTAAATTTAACCACACATTCACAATACAGGATCATGTCATTTTACTGTGTTGATATGAGAGGATTACTTTCTCACCAGCGGTTAACTAAACTGAGATTCTATGTTCATCACTATGTTCATTACCAGTGCATCAGCCAGCATTCACATTATTATGAGTTTTGTTAAGATTATATGAGAATATAGTATGTCTGTATATATATATATATATATATATATATATATATATTATATATACACACACACACACACACAGCTGTGGAAAAAATTAAGAGACCACTGCAAATGTTTCTTAAATCAGCATCTCTACATGTATGACAGCCATTCCATTCCAGTGTCTGTTGAATTCCAACACAGGCACACCTCATTCTACTGAATTAGGTACTGATTAGGTGATCACATGAACCAAATCTTATTTAACGAGGAAAAGTATAAAAACCACTGCTGTGGTCATCACTATCCTCTTGCAATAGGACTAGCTGGATGGCAAAAACAGTGCTAATAGTACCTCAAAAGTAATATTAATCAAAAAATAACTATTGACCATGCCAAAAGAGTTGAAAAGGAAAGTTTTGAGTGAGGAAAAGGAGGGTTCAATTCTGTCTTTACTGGCAGAGGGATACAGTGAGCGTCAGGTCGCTTCCATCCTTAAAATTTCAAAGAGGGCGGTTCATAAGAACAAGGTCAAGCAGCAGACATTGGGGACAACAAAGCTACAGACCGGCAGAGGGCGAAAACGACTCTCTACTGACCGGGATGACCGCCAACTCATTTGAATGTCACTCAACAACCGTAGGATGACATCAAGTGACCTACAAAAAGAATGGCAAACGGCAGCTGGGGTGAAGTGCACGGTGACGACGGTTCGAAACAGGCTCATAGGGACAGGGCTGAAGTCGTGCTAAGCTAGAAAAAAGCCCTTCATCAATGAGAAGCAAAGAAGAGCCAGGCTGAAGTTTGCAAAAGACCATAAGGATTGGACCGTAGAGGACTGGAGTAAGGTCATCTTCTCTGATGAGTCCAATTTTCAGCTTTGCCCAACACCTGGACCTGGAGAGGCCTACAAACCACAGTGTCTCGCACCCACTGTGAAATTTGGTGGAGGATTGGTGATGATCTGGGGGTGCTTCAGCAAGGCTGGAATTGGGCAGATTTGTCTTTGTGAAGGACGCATGAATCAAGCCACGTACAAGGTTGTCCTGGAAGAAAACTTGCTTCCCTTTGCTCCGACATTGTTCCCCAACTTTGAGGATTGGTTTTTCCAGCAGGACAATGCGCCATGCCACACAGCCAGGTCAATCAAGGTGTGGATGGAGGTCCACCAGATCAAGACCCTGTCATGGCCAGCCCAATCTCCAGACCTGAACCCCATTGAAAACTTCTGGAATGTGATCAAGAGTAAGATGGATGGTCACAAGCCATCAAACAAAGCCGAACTGCTTGAATTTTTTGAACTCTTCCTAAGTTAAAACATTAGTATTGTGTTGTTTAAAAATGAACATGAACTTATTTTCTTTGCTTTATTTATTTATTTATTATTATTTTGTTATTTTGACCAGTTGTCATTTTCTGCAAATAAATGCTCTAAATGACAATATACCCAAACACATACCTATAAATAGTAAAACCAGAGAAACTGATAATTTTGCAGTGGTTTCTTAATTTTTTCTGCAGCTGTATATATATACAGTGGGGGAAAAAAGTATTTAGTCAGCCACCAATTGTGCAAGTTCTCCCACTTAAAAAGATGAGAGAGGCCTGTAATTTTCATCATAGGTACACATCAACTATGACAGACAAATTGAGAAAAGAAAATCCAGAAAATCACATTGTAGGATTTTTTATGAATTTATTTGCAAATTATGGTGGAAAATAAGTATTTGGTCACCTACAAACAAGCAAGATTTCTGGCTCTCACAGACCTGTAACTTCTTCTTTAAGAGGCTCCTCTGTCCTCCACTCGTTACCTGTATTAATGGCACCTGTTTGAACTTGTTATTAGTATAAAAGACACCTGTCCACAACCTCAAACAGTCACACTCCAAACTCCACTATGGCCAAGACCAAAGAGCTGTCAAAGGACACCAGAAACAAAATTGTAGACCTGCACCAGGCTGGGAAGACTGAATCTGCAATAGGTAAGCAGCTTGGTTTGAAGAAATCAACTGTGGGAGCAATTATTAGGAAATGGAAGACATACAAGACCACTGATAATCTCCCTCGATCTGGGGCTCCACGCAAGATCTCACCCCGCGGGGTCAAAATGATCACAAGAACGGTGAGCAAAAATCCCAGAACCACACGGGGGGACCTAGTGAATGACCTGCAGAGAGCTGGGACCAAAGTAACAAAGCCTACCATCAGTAACACACTACGCCGCCAGGGACTCAAATGCTGCAGTGCCAGACGTGTCCCCCTGCTTAAGCCAGTACATGTCCAGGCCTGTCTGAAGTTTGCTAGAGTGCATTTGGATGATCCAGAAGAGGATTGGGAGAATGTCATATGGTCAGATGAAACCAAAATATAACTTTTTGGTAAAAACTCAACTCGTCGTGTTTGGAGGACAAAGAATGCTGAGTTGCATCCAAAGAACACCATACCTACTGTGAAGCATGGGGGTGGAAACATCATGCTTTGGGGCTGTTTTTCTGAAAAGGGACCAGGACGACTGATCCGTGTAAAGGAAAGAATGAATGGGGCCATGTATCGTGAGATTTTGAGTGAAAACCTCCTTTCATCAGCAAGGGCATTGAAGATGAAACGTGGCTGGGTCTTTCAGCATGACAATGATCCCAAACACACCGCCCGGGCAACGAAGGAGTGGCTTCGTAAGAAGCATTTCAAGGTCCTGGAGTGGCCTAGCCAGTCTCCAGATCTCAACCCCATAGAAAATCTTTGGAGGGAGTTGAAAGTCCGTGTTGCCCAGCGACAGCCCCAAAACATCACTGCTCTAGAGGAGATCTGCATGGAGGAATGGGCCAAAATACCAGCAACAGTGTGTGAAAACCTTGTGAAGACTTACAGAAAACGTTTGACCTGTGTCATTGCCAACAAAGGGTATATAACAAAGTATTGAGAAACTTTTGTTATTGACCAAATACTTATTTTCCACCATAATTTACAAATCAATTCATTAAAAATCCTACAATGTGATTTTCTGGATTTTTTTTCTCATTTTGTCTGTCATAGTTGACGTGTACCTATGATGAAAATTACAGGCCTCTCTCATATTTTTAAGTGGGAGAACTTGCACAATTGGTGGCTGACTAAATACTTTTTTTCCCCACTGTGTGTGTGAGTGTATATTTACACAGTATCTCACAAAAGTGAGTACACCACTCACATTTCTGTAAATATTTGAGTATATCTTTTCATGTGACAACACTGAAGAAATGACACTTTGCTACAATGTAAAGTAGTGTAAATTTGCTGTCCCCTCAAAATAACACAACACACAGCCATTAATGTCTAAACCGCTGTCAACAAAAGTGAGTACACCCCTATGTGAAAATGTCCAAATTGGGCCCAAAGTGTCAATATTTTGTGTGGCCACCATCATTTTCCAGCACTGCCTTAACCCTCTTGGGCATGGAGTTCACCAGAGCTTCACAGGTTGCCACTGGAGTCCTCTTCCACTCCTCCATGACGACATCACGGAGCTGGTGGATGTTAGAGAACTTGCACTCCTCCACCTTCCGTTTGAGGATGCCCCACAGATGCTCAATAGGGTTTAGGTCTGGAGACATGCTTGGCCAGTCCATCACCTTTACCCTCAACTTCTTTAGCAAGGCAGTGGTCGTCTTGGAGGTGTGTTTGGGGTCGTTATCATGTTGGAATACTGCCCTGCGGCCCAGTCTCTGAAGGGAGGGGATCATGCTCTGCTTCAATATGTCACAGTACATGTTGGCATTTATGGTTCCCTCAATGAACTGTAGCTCCCCAGTGCCGGCAGCACTCATGCAGCCCCAGACCATGACACTCCCACCACCATGCTTGACTGTAGGCAAGACACACTTGTCTTTGTACTCCTCACCTGGTTGCCGCCACACACGCTTGACACCATCTGAACCAAATAAGTTTATCTTGGTCTCATCAGACCACAGGACATGGTTCCAGTAATCCATGTCCTTAGTCTGCTTGTCTTCAGCAAACTGTTTGCGGGCTTTCTTGTGCATCATCTTTAGAAGAGGCTTCCTTCTGGGACGACAGCCATGTAGACCAATTTGATGCAGTGTGGGGCGTATGGTCTGAGCACTGACAGGCTGACCCCCCACCCCTTCAACCTCTCCAGCAATGCTGGCAGCACTCATACGTCTATTTCCCAAAGACAACCTCTGGATATGACGCTGAGCACGTGCACTCAACTTCTTTGGTCGACAATGGCGAGGCCTGTCCTGAGTGGAACCTGTCCTGTTAAACCGCTGTATGGTCTTGACCACCGTGCTGCAGCTCAGTTTCAGGGTCTTGGCAATCTTCTTATAGCACAGGCCATCTTTATGTAGAGCAACAATTCTTTTTTTCAGATCCTCAGAGAGTTCTTTGCCATGAGGTGCCATGTTGAACTTCCAGTGACCAGTATGAGGGAGTGTGAGAGCGATGACACCAAATTTAACACACCTTCTCCCCATTCACACCTGAGACCTTGTAACACTAACGAGTCACATGACAACGGGGAGGGAAAATGGCTAATTGGGCCCAATTTGGACATTTGCACTTAGGGGTGTACTCACTTTTGTTGCCAGCGGTTTAGACATTAATGGCTGTGTTGAGTTATTTTGAGGGGACAGCAAATATACACTGTCATACAAGCTGTACACTCACTACTTTACATTGTAGCAAAGTGTCATTTCTTCAGTGTTGTCATATGAAAATATATACACAAATATTTACAAAATATTAACTTTTGTGAGATACTGTATATTTTTGCAAGAGAAAAAAAAAACATATGGGGGATTGGAAGTGATGCAGACAATTACATTGGTGGAAGTAACAATCTATCTGCAATATTAAAGCTGATCTACCCCCTAAAAAATAAAAAAATAAAAAGGATTATATGAGAAGAGTGGATGTCTCACCAGGATACAAGAGAAGCCGCCTCCACCACGGTCTCCTGAGTAGGGTCGAAGTCCAGAGCACTCTTGTCCAGACCCAGCAGCTCAGCTATCCGCTCAGCTCCATACAGGTCTCCATATTTATTAATGACCTATAGACAGAACAGACAAATACAGGTCTCCATACTTATTAATGACCTATAGACAGAACAGACAAATACAGGTCTCCATACTTATTAATGACCTATAGACAGAACAGACAAATACGAAAACTATAGTTTGCCAGAGTGGTTGAAACTTCCGACTTCAACTGTACATTTAATTTGGGTTTATAGATTGTTATACCACAGTATGTAGTTATATGTGTATAGTATTAGTGTGGAATTATGTGAATAAGACTATAATTTTTGTAAAAAAATGTTTTACATTAGCTCTGAAATCCCACGTACCTTCCGTTTGATGAACTTGTCCCAGTAGTTATTGGGGAAGGATCTGCAGACACATACGAGGGACAGTAGACATAGATCAGACTTCAAAAGTAGTTCAATACCTATAACTCTATTAGGAACATTCATCTGAAGCTGGTGACGTTTTCAACTGACTTTTGAATATGAGTGTACATGGGCAGGAGCTTACCGGAACTGTATACCGACACCTCAAATGTTCTACTACACCTCTTATAGATTAGCTCAAAAGTATTGTGGAGTTCCTGCAACTGAATATAAACAGTACCGGCACCCAAAATGAGTACCGGCACCTATTTCAGTCCAAGTCAGGTGTTCCTCTGTGGTATGACTCACGGGGTGTTGATGACGAGGCGGTCCCACTGTCCTGTGATGTCATCGTCTGCAGGCTGCTCTGTGATATAGAGACCTTCAAACTCCAACAGCCTGGCGATCCCCTTCTCTCTCTTAAACACCACCAGAGGCACCTGGGTAGGATATGGATGACATAGAGAACGGGTGAGAGGAGGAACACGGAGGAAGAAGAGAATAGACTGGAATGACAGACACAGACACACAAAGAAAGAAAGAAAGAAGAAAGAAAGACAAAAAGAAAGACAAAAAGAAAGAAAGAAATAAAGAAAATAAAGAAAGAAAGAAAGAAAGAAAGAAAGAAAGAAAGAAAGAAAAGAAAGAAAGAAAGAAAGAAAGAAAGAAAGAAAGAAAGAAAGAAAGGAGATCGTGATGTTGTGCATTGATGGGATCAGTTGACCGTAATAATCACCAGTCATACTGATTGATAGATTGATTGATTAAATGATTGTAATCACCTTGAGGAAGTAGTATCCCACCAAGCAGAGGATAGAGAGAGCAGTGTGGAATACAGCCAGAAAACACAGAATAGGGGCCATGTAGCCTGTACTCTCCTCCAGGACAAAGTACTCCTCACCACCTTCATCATCATCATCATCAGAACTAGTCCAGGAGTCATCCTCATCATCCTCATCAGCAGTCACCTGAGGGAAAATGAACCACAGAGAAAATGGGTTTTTATTTCTATGACAGATATGGTAAAATCCCAGCAAACACACAACCACCTCACAACGTTGTCTCAAAGTTGACACACAATAGTCTGGTTATTGACAAGAATGTACAGTGCATTCGGAAAGTATTCAGACCCCTGGACTTTTCCACATTTTGTTACGTTACAGCCTTATTTCTAAAATGGATTAAATAAATAAAAAATCACCCCATAATACCCCATAATGACAAAGCAAAAACAGGTTTTTAGAAAATGACCCTTTGCTATGAGACTCGAAATTGAGCTCAGGTGCATCCTATTTCCATTGATCATCCTTGAGATGTTTCTACAACTTGATTGGAGTCCACCTGTGGTAAATTCAATTGATTGGACATGATTTGGAAAGTCACATACCGGTCTTTATACGGTCCCACTGTTGACAGGGCATATCAGAGCAAAAACCAAACCATGAGGTCGAAGGAATTGTCCGTAGAGCTCTGAGACAGGATTGTTTTAAGGCACAGATCTGGGGAAGGGTACCAAAACAATTCTGGAGCATTGAAGGTCCCCAAGAACACAGTGGCCTCCATCATTCTTAAATGGAAGAAGTTTGGAACCACCAAGACTCTTCCTAGAGCTGGCCGCCCGGCCAAATTGAGCAATCGGGGGAGAAGGGCCTTGGTCAGGGAGGTGACCAAGAACCCGATGGCCACTCTGACAGAGCTCTAGAGTTCCTCTGTGGAGATGGGAGAACCTTCCAGAAGGACAACTATCTCTGCAGCACTCCACCAATCAGGCCTTTATGGCAGAGTGGCCAGATGGAAGCCACTCCTCAGTAAAAGGCACATGACAGCCTGCTTGGAGTTTGCCAAAAGGCACCTAAAGGACTCTCAGACCATGAGAAACAAGATTATCTGGTCTGATGAAACCAAGATTGAAGTCTTTGGCCTGAATGCTAAGCATCACATCTGGAGGAAACCTGGCACCATCCCAACGGTGAAGCATGGTGGTGGCAGCATCATGCTGTGGGGATGTTTTTCCACAGCAGGGAGTGGGAGACTAGTCAGGATCGAGGGAAAGATGAACGGAGCAAAGTACAGAGATATCCTTGATGAAACCCGGCTCAAGAGCGCTCAGGACCTCAGACTGGGGTGAAAGTTCACCTTCCAACAGGACAGCGGCCCAAAGCACACAGCCAAGACAACGCAGGAGTGGCTTCGGGACAAGTCTCTGAATGTCCTTGAGTGGCCCAGCCAGAGCCCGGCTTGAACCCGATCGAACATCTCTGGAGAGACCTGAAAATAGCTGTGCAGCGACACTCCCCATCCAACCTGGCAGAGCTTGAGAGGATCTGCAGAGAATAATGGGAGTAACTCACCAAATACAGGTGTGCCAAGCTTGTAGTGTCATACCCAAGAAGACTCGAGGCTGTAATCGCTTCAAAAGGTGCTTCAACAGAGTACTGAGTAAAGGGTCTGAATACTTATGTAAATGATATTAAAGTTGCTGTTTTTTATATACATTTTGCAAAAATGTCTAAAAACCTGTTTTTGCTTTGTCATTATGGGGTATTGTGTGTAGATTAATGAGGGGGAAATAAACATTTAATCAATTTTAGAATGAGGCTGTAAAGTAACATTTAGAAAAATGGAAAAAGGGGTCTGAATACTTTCCCAAGGCACGGTCTGTATTATCTATGTATATCTTATTAGCTCCATCTCAGCATTAATCCTTTGCATCTTGTAGAAGAGAGTAAGAAAAACCCTGTAATGTGTAACACTGTAAATTACCCTGTAGAACAGTAGAATGAAGTTGATCGCAAACGCCACAAACAGAGCCAGGAAACGCATGTTGTAGAAGTTGCGAGCCAGCGTGTTCTGCAGACACATAGAACACAAAGTCAGACATTTAGCCATGATACATAGCGGTCTTCTGAGGTGAGCGTGACTGCAAAGAAGACGACCTGGAAGGTCACCATTGACAGCATGTGACAGGCAGAATAACAACATCTGTGTTTGAGAGCATCAATTCTGATCAGTCGCTGATCACCGACTAAACAAACTGACTGATCTTCAAATAATACGCAGTTATTTAGGATGCAAAGTGATTCCCAGATCAGTTATTCTGAAGTCTCCAACTGCAATATAATAATTACAATAATAATAAATATTCAAATTCTAGAGCGCATTTCCCACACTCAATACGCAAAGCTGTAGTCGATCTTGAACAAGCACAATGTCTGATGTATTACCAGCATCTTCGTCTGGTAGACCTCCAGCCCAGCCAAGAAGCTGGCAAAGAAGGAAGTAGGAGCCTCCTTTGATTGGCCGTTTCTGGACTTGGGGGCGGGCTTATCCTGAGCCACTTCCTCTTTAGGCTGCTCTGCCTTGACCTTGTCTTCCTTCTCCTTCTTCTCTGTGCTGTGAGAACACAAGATGACCGCCGATCTGTTATCGATCTGACACCAGCGCATACCTCTGACACCTCTTAGAGAGCTGAAACCCCAACACAACACAACACACTCTTTCATTTCATTCCATTATTTCAATTTTAAGAAATAATGAGCAATTAAGATCAGACTCTTATTTGCAATAACAAAGTGTCAAGATGCGAGAAACCGAGCACAAATAAAAAAAATAATAGAAAAAAACCTTTAAATAAAGTTGATTGAATTTAGATTTGAACATGCCCTCCATGTTACATAACTGAAGTAAACATATACACAGAGATAAATAAATGGTGTAGACCACTCACTCTGCTTTCTCTGGTTCAGACTCTGTTGGTTCAAAAGCGGCCTTCTACATGAGACAGACCACAGAAGGTTAGAGAGGATACTTATTGGTGACACCATCCATGTGAAACAAGCCCAGCATTTTACTGAGAACTGTTCATAGAGAATCAACATGTATTCCCTTTACCTACTGTTTTAGAGATAGGTCTACAGATTGCTCACCTTTTTCTCCACAGTGGCGGTGGTCTCAGCGGTCAGATTCTCAGAGACGTCTCCCAGTCCAGGATCTACATGTTTCAACCCTTCCCCTTTCTTTGGTGTCGGATTAATCATCTCCATCAAGATGTCCTGCTCTGCCTTGTCCGACGGTTTGATGGCCTGGTCTGTCCCGCCCGACACCGAATCACCCACCTCCGCCTTCTCTGTCTCCAACACGTCACCGTGGATACCGAACTGGGTGGGATCGGGCATGTTGCCCAAGATGTCTGTCACCTTCATGTTCTTGGCTCCTTCAAGTCAAATCAAATCAAACTGAATTTAAAGTACATTTAAACAAAACGTTGCAACACCCTTAACAGTAGCCTAAAACAATAAAACAAAAGAGATCAAACTAAAAAAGAAGATAAAAAGATCCCACCTTCGACGAGCCCGCCGCCGAACATGGATGACCAGATGAGGTGGAAGAATCCGAAGATGAGGCTGTAGATCCCCTTGAAGAACCCTGTGAAGAGAATCCAGAAGAAGGAGAAGAACCCAACGATCATCTCCTTCATGCTCAGCTTCTTGAACTTCTTGTACTGCTTCTTGAGGCTCTTGAAGGTCAGCATCTGTCTGAAGTTGGAGATCTTCTTCTTGGCGGAGACGCAGACCATGGTGAAAGCTGAGGAAGCCTCCAGCTTGCTCTCCTCTTCTTGCTCAGCCAGCTCTTCTAGCAAGTTGTGCACCTCCTCCTCGTCCTCCTCCGGGCGCTCCACCACTTCTGGCTCCGAGATCTGAGACGCCAGCTGCATCTCAAAGATGGTGTCCTCGCAGAAGTTCACAAACATCTCCATCTTCTCGCTCTCTCCCCCCTCGTTGACCACGTCGAAGATGAACTGTCTCTTAGACTCTTTGACCTGTGGCTTCTCCCACTGCGTGCGGCTGGACTCACTGATCTCAAAGTAAACCCTCTCGATGCGCTTCCCTCCGCCCATGATCTCGATGCGGCCCAGGTATGGCTCAAAGTAGTTCAGCACGCTCTCGGCCGGTTCCAGGAAGGTGGCCAGACGGGGGTCGTGAGGCATGTGCTCAGAGAGGTTGGTGAGCAGCACGGCTACGTTAAAGCCGATGTCTTTGGCTGGCTCGTGGAACCGCTCCACAAACTCCTCGTAGTTGAACATGTCATTCTCGTCGGCCTCGGCGCAGGAGAGCAGGAACTCGATCTCTGACTGGGTATACTGCTTCTGGTTCTCCATGGACTTCTGGAAATCTTTCTTGGAGATCACCCCCTTGTTCTCGGGGTCGTACTCCCTGAAGTTGTCAGAGGTGGTCAGGTCCTTGATCTTGAGGAACATGTCGAAGAACTTGAGGATCATCTCTACGTTACTGGAGGACTCCACCAGAGTGTCTACCATCTGCTTCCCTATCGTTCCATTCACCACGTTGCCTAGGAGACACCACATAGGACTAGGAATCAATGGCGCGTTGCATTTGCATTCTTACTTACTAAATGACAAACTCACTTACTTTCCCTCCTTCCTTCCTCACTTAATTACAAACGGACTCACTTCATATTCACATATAACTTGTATTATGTGGATAACTACAGTATGTACCATCAGGTGATAGGTGTAAATCATTGACTGTATGGCGTAAATATATACGTTCAAACAAATGCTCCTGTGGTGACTGTAACCTGCCACGTCTTAAATGAGTCCTATTAGTGTTAGAGTGAATCTGTAGGTTCTTACCCTCCAGCAGTGACAGCATCATCACCACCATGTCCTGCTGAAGATCCATCAACTCCTTCAGCAGCTCAATCTGACACGAGTCCTAGGAGGCCCCAATCATTGGAAGAATTGCATTAATATTATTATTAATTTATTAGTATTATTATTATTAATTTATTAGTATTTATTAATTATAACATGTATTTATGAAGCATTTTCATGATTTTACAATCTCAATAGCGCAGGTTGCATGCATTAAAAACACATAACCAAAAACCAAAACAAAGACTAGCAGCACTAGGCGCTTCAGCACTCGGCAGTCCTGTTGTGTGAGCTTGTGTGGCCTACCACTTCGCGGCTAAGCTGTTGTTGTTCCTAGACATTTCCACTTCACAATAACAGCACTTACAGTTGACCGGGGCAGAAATTTACAAACTGACTTGTTGGAAAGGTGGCATCCTATGACGATGCCACGTTGACTGAGAACGTTGTCATTTACAGCATCTAATGACCTGCTTATTGATGTTGAGGATGTTTGGTGTGGTACTGTGTGGGTGAATCCTCTACTCTTTGAGGCTGTGTAGTAGTAAGTAAGCCTTGAGCGACAACGGCCCCCAGGGCAGGAACCTATCTCCTGTGTCTGTAGTGTCGGCAGTACACACAAGTACACCCCCTGGACAGGACGTTGATCTATTGAAATGTGAGTGATTTTTATATGATCAGTTTTATATTGGAGAGACGTTGGCGACGACAGTGAGCGTTGACTGACAGGAAGCAGAGGGCCACTGACTGCAACTCCAGGATAGCAGGGTAGCTCGCAGGACGCTGGACTGGGCCAGTAGTTTACTGTTTTATTTTGCTCCCTGGTTGGTGCAGCAGTGAGGACACCTGTTTACCTGGGACAGCTTCATCTGCATGTTGGCAAACACATGCAGGAATCCCACCACTGCATCCCACAGTCTGCTGTGGGCCAGACTCTGCTGGTTCCCAATACATGGGCCCTGGGGGGGAGAGAGGGAGGGGGGGAGAGAGGGAGGGGGGGAAGAGAGGGAGGGGGAACAGAGGAGGTGGGAGAGATGGAGGGGGGAAAGAGGGAGAGAGGGAGAGATGGAGGGGGGGAAAGAGAGAGGTGGGGAGGAGAGGGAGAGAGGGAGGTGGGATAGAGGGAGAGAGGGGGGGAGAGAGGGAGAGAGAGGGGGGAGATGGAGGGGGGAGAGAGGGAGGTGGGAGAGAGGGAGGGGGAGAGATGGAGGGGGAGGAAGGAAGAAGAGAGGAAGGGGGAGAGAGATGGATAGAAGGACCAAAATAAAGTGAATGATAATAAAGATCACAAACAAAAAAACATGTTAGTGTCATAAAATAAAATACAAATATGACTCTTGGGAAAGAGAGACTATAGTCTAAATGTGAAACACTGTAAAGTCAGAAAGAGTCAGGCCTTACTTACCTGGATGTACTCAGTGAGTGAGTTGAAGATCTGCTTTGCGACAGCTAAGGCTTTGGAGAAGTTGACCTGCCCTGCCTCGTCGATAATGTCTTTCCCAGAGTAATACCAATAGAAGTCACTGATAGATTCCTACAGAGAAGGATTACTTTTGTCAGTGTGGTGGTGAAACCACGTCACATTCTCCTTATAGTGAGTGGTAGTGTGTGTGTGTGTGTGTGTGTGTGTGTGTGGTGTGTGGAGAAGGGGGGGGGGGGGGGGGGGGGGTTACAGGGACAAAATATCAGAATTTCGGTTTATAAATAGGGAAAGGGGGATACCTAGTCAGTTGTACAACTGAATGCATTCAACTGAAATGTGTCTTCCGCATTTAACCCAACCCCTCTGAATCAGAGAGGTGCGGGGGGCTGCCTTAATCCACATCCACGTCATCGGCGCCCGGGGAACCTGAATGTGGGTGTGTGTGTGTGTGTGTGTTTCACCTGAAGGCGTAGCAGGTAGTCCACTGTGCTGATGATAATATTGACTGTCAACGTGTTTCCTGTTTGTGTTCTCAGGAAGTTTTGGAAATCTGTGGTGATGAACACATTTTGAAATTGGGATAACATGGTTTGAGTAAAGCAGCAAGTTATATCAAAAAATAATATACTAATACTTTGTTTTACACCAATTAATGAAGGTTCTCACCCCCGTTGTGCCCCTCACAGAGCAGTTGTAAAAACCTGAAGAGATCTTTGGTGAAGTCATCATTCGTCAGCACTTTGGAACCTTGTGGACGAGACAGAAGTAGGTGAAGAATGCTCTCCAAAACAATAACAGCGGAATTCACAAGCAACTAGAGTTTTCACGATAATCTCAATACATGATTTAGGTGAAAGTCTGAGTTAGGCTTGCGGATGTCAAGTCAGGATTGTGACCTCGCTCACTCGACACCCATCACTCTTAGACAGGCAGGTGGCTAGCACAGATACAGCACTCTTAGAAAATAGTTGCTATCTAGAACCTAAAAGGGTTCTTCGGCTGTCCCCATAGGAGAACCCTTTGAAGACCTGTTTTTGGTTTCAGGTAGAGCCCCTTTGGGTTCAATGTATAACCCTTTCCACAGAGGGTTCTACATGGAATCCAAAAGGGGTTCTACCTGGAACCAAAAAGGGTTCTATCTAGGACCAAAAAGTGTTCTCCTTTTGGGGAAAAGGCGAAGAACCCTTTTGGAACCCTTTTTTCAAAGAGTGTGGGTCTGGGTTTGTGTTGCACACAACACTTTTGTGTCAGGCTAACAGCTGCATCCAAAGTGCTGATTGTGAAAAATGAAATTAATATTGTGAAACACCAGGACATTTCAGGAAGCTGGGTATTAGCCAGGTAACTTTCACATATACCATATAGTATATATATATAGTATAGAACAAGACAAGAACACAGGGGATCCATTTTCAAAAAGATCAGAACACAATGATGGAATGTTCTCCACTTAGAATCATCAAGCAATTCCAAGGTTCCATTCCACAGTACTTCACAATCTTGGGAATTCTGTATTACATTTCTGGATCAGCTATATCATCCATATGAAAGTTAAACCTATACATGAAACCAGCTTTGTGGAATAGGCCCCAAGTCCAAAGCACATCAAAGCTTTGCTTTAGCTGTGGACAAGTCTACAAATCTTAGGTTAAACTATTTAAAAGACATTGATAGCCTTATAGGAGTATCAGTAGTAGAATGTAGATGAGTGATGTAGAGTTTAGTAACATAAAGAAAAAACGACCACGTAAACCTATAATTCTACGTCTATATTCTACGCATGCATGTGCATGAATGTACCTCCCTGCAGACCAGAGCAATGCGTTAATGCTTCCAGGTCATCAGGTCAATGAGGCAGGGAGGTGAAGGTGAGAGAGGGACTGAAATATTGCCACGACTTTCAATATGCTAGCATGGAGGTTATGAGAGCATCTGAATAGTCTATTTACCCCGCTCACTGTTGACTGCCGTCGATGAGTTTTAATGATAGGAGAGGACAAAACAAACACACAAAAAAAGCAGACGTAAGCAAGAGAAGACATATTGAAAGAGTGAGAGATGTCTAAAGTCCTCATTATGGGTGAAGAGACAAGGGCATGCTGTTAAAATGAAGGTCTTCAGGGGAGAGTTTATGATATTTAGTACGTAACTAGTATATAGGATATTGGTGGAAAATAACTATTGTTAACCTATCAAAACTGGAAATATAGTGTATGTGTTAGGTGTGTGAGGTAATATAGATGTGAAGAAGGAGGCTTGTATCTAGCTAATGCTGCACCATGTCTTAGGTGCCCCCTACCTCAGGATGGAGGAAACCCCTGCTCTCGATTTAGGAGTAAAAATATCTCTTGGAAAGGCTTTTGGTGCTTGTGCTACACTGTATTGTATTCGTACGGAACCTGACAACGTGGGGAGTGTAGATGTTAGTAGACGTTGACAACTACTGTACTTACTCTCACAAACTGCACTTCTGAACAGCTTAGATTCCTAAACCTGATGAAACTACTGAACAGCTTAGATTCCTAAACCTGATGAAACTACTGAACAGCTTAGATTCCTAAACCTGATGAAACCACTGAACAGCTTAGATTCCTAAACCTGATGAAAATACTGAACAGCCTAAACCTGATGAAAATACTGAACAGCTTAGATTCCTAAACCTGATGAAACCACTGAACAGCTTAGATTCCTAAACCTGATGAAACCACTGAACAGCTTAGATTCCTAAACCTGATGAAAATACTGAACAGCCTAAACCTGATTAAAATACTGAACAGCTTAGATTCCTAAACCTGATGAAACATTTAGTCAGAAACTTCACTACTTCTTTATTTACAATGAACTCAATTCATGTAGTGATTAAAAGCGGTGAGTGACATTCATCCTGTATAATACATAGCAGGGTTGGGGTCAGTTACGTTTCAATTCAGGAAATGTAACTATATACTTCTATACTTTTTTATGAGGATTTTGGTTTACTTTCTGAATCTAAATGGAATTGACCCCAACCCTGAGACATAAGCCTATTGTATATACTGTATCATGCGACGAGGCCTTGCAGCCCTGATGACTGTCTAGACAACAACAGGTTAATCACATGGACCCCTGACTCTACCACTACTGTAGCATTTACATTTACGTCATTTAGCAGACGCTCTTATCCAGAGCGACTTACATGAGCAATTAGGGTTAAGTGCCTTGCTCAAGGGCACATCGACAGATTTTTCACCTAGTCGGCTCGGGGATTAGAACCAGCGACCTTTCGGTTACTGGCACAACGCTCTTAACCACTAAGCTACCTGCCGTAGCACAAGCATTAAGAACAACGCGCAACAGAAAATCGCAATACAAGGTCGAACGCAATTTTTACGTTCATTTTCTATTAGCTAGGGCCATTCTTTCTGAAGATAATTTGACACCAACGTGTAAAACATCGCAGCGAGAGAGATAAGACAATGTCATGCTCCAGCATTAGCCATTTGGAAGGAGGTTGGTTTCTTGCTGAGCAGGAAGTGAAAGCTGTGCGGTGTTGAGCCCCAAAGATTCTCTGAGTAAAGATACTCCAAGACAGCAGCTAAAATAATCCTCTTGAACCTAGAGTTGAACCTGTTGCTGAGAAGAAAAGGAGAAGAAAAAAAAGAACCTCAAGTTTTCTGGGTAAAGATCCTCCAAGTGTGAAAAAGCAACCAAGACCGCGAGACAGCTCTCGGAACCTACGGCTGAAGGGAAAAGGGGAAAATAAAAACTACAATTGAACTCAAATGTTAAACTACTCTGTAGCTCAATTGGTAGAGCACGGCGCTTGTAATGCCAGGGTAGTGAGTTCGATCCCCGGGACCACCCATACGTAAAAATGTATGCACACATGACTGTAAGTCGCTTTGGATAAAAGCGTCTGCTAAATGGCATATTATTATTATTATTATTTAAAGCTTGGGGATAGTGCATCAGCTGGCCATCCTGTGGCTAAACTTACTGGATCCTTCATCTGTCACCATCCTGTGTCTAAACTTACTGGATCCTTCATCTGTCACCATCCTGTGGCTAAACTTACTGGATCCTTCATCTGTCACCATCCCCAGACCTGGCTAAACTTACTGGAGCCTTCATCTGTCACCATCCCCAGACCTTCCGCTTTGTTCTGTCTCTCAAAGGCATTTAGGTCCAGGACACTGTGGAGGGTAGGACGAAAAGAGACATGGTCAAAGAGAAACACAGTAGAGCAGCAGGGCTAATGAATAAGAATGACAGTAAACAGTGGTGATAGGACAATGAGGGTCCCTTCATCATGTCATTGGGTATAACCAACATGCTTATCAATAAATTACAGTATTTTAATTGATCAGAAGTTGATCAGAAGTCTATCATCATTTCCAGGCAGTTCCCAGACGAGATCTGTCCTCTGGGTTATTCGGGTGGCGTAGTCACGGTTACCTGCAGGACTGCATGAGGCCTGATAAACTCTTGAAAAAGCCTGCGTCTCTTTTCTCTTTCAGGTAATCCAGCATTTTCTGCAAAACAATGGAAATTAAAAAAACTAATGTTTTCATGCACAGAAACTCTTGGTAAGATGTGAAGATGGAATACAAATCTGGTAACGGTGTGGAACATACACAGTAATCCATCTCTGGTAACGATGTGTAACATACACAGTAATACATCTCTGGTAACGATGTGTAACATACACAGTAACACATCTCTGGTAACGATGTGTAACATACACAGTAACACATCTCTGGTAACGATGTGTAACATACACAGTAACACATCTCTGGTAACGATGTGTAACATACACAGTAACACATCTCTGGTAACGATGTGTAACATACACAGTAACACATCTCTGGTAACGATGTGTAACATACACAGTAACACATCTCTGGTAACGATGTGTAACATACACAGTAACACATCTCTGGTAATGATGTGGAACATACACAGTAATATATCTCTGGTAATGTAATGTAGTCTAACCTGCTGAACCAGCACGTTGCCTCCGTTGAGGATGGAGATGCCCAGTTTGAGGGTGCAGGTCACCATAGGACCTAGTCGACCTGGGGACAGAGAGGAGTAGACTGAGCACCCAAGTTGTTAGCACACTGCTAGCCGCAGACAGACGGCTAAAACGAGACTTCGATTGTGGTTTGCGAGCTTATTCCACTGCAAGTTTGGATAAAATATTTATTTGAGGGTCAACATGCTGTGTAGTACACAAGGCCCCTGAAGTTACACCTGTAGATAAAAGAACATTCTCACCTTTACTGGCGCTGATCATCTGTAGCACCATCTCAGCAGCCCCGCGGGCGTGCAGTCTGGCCTGTTGGTACAAGATCTTCTGTTTCTCCATCTCCTTCTCCTGTGGGCCCAAAGGGGGAATGTCAGCTCATATAATGATCATACACAATAGCCAAACTCTCTCTACCTAGCTATGGCCCAGGGTCAGACATGCAGTAAGCTGTAGTTGTTGTTCATTAAAAACCTGTCTCATAGTTAATATGTCAACATCTATAATCCTGGGGTTCAAATACACAATAAAACATCATCTTAGAGAAACATTCACACATCTCACAGGAAAGTGACAACATCAATGATCTTATAGCTGCTGGATACAAAAGGACAAATCTGATTGTATAAAATATATGCTACTGAAAGGTTTAAATCGAACATGGCTGTCACAGTGACGACGACAGTGACAACATTTCAACCATTGCCTGTTCTTTGTTAGCTGACACTGTAGACATGGGAAGTTAGTTATCTGTTGTAGCCAGTGCTGTTGATTTAAAATCCTGTCTCATCATTCACAAGTCAGATATCTATCCAGCCTAAAGGCAAAGACTGGGTTCAGACAGGTTCAGACTGGGTTCAGACAGATTCAAACAGATTCAGACTGGGGGTTAGTGAAACAAGGACAGACAGATTGAAACCTCAAACGTCTTCTCTTTCTCCTCTTCCCCTTCCTCCTCTTCATCCTCTGCACAACTCTGAGGAGATAAAGGAGGAACATGTTAGAGTTAGGACAACTGTGCATTAACTGATTATGAACCCACTTCAGTCTGATTATGAACGTATGCATTTACACAGGCAGCCCAGTTCTGATCTTTTGCCACTAATTGGACTTTTGACCAATCAGATCAGATATTTTGCCACTAATTTGACTTTTGACCAATCAGATATTTTGCCACTAATTGGATTTTTGACCAGTCAGATCAGATATTTTGCCACTAATTGGACTTTTGACCAATCAGATCAGATATTTTGCCACTAATTGGACTTTTGACCAATCAGATCAGATCTTTTGCCACTAATTTGACTTTTGTCCAATCAGATCAGATATTTTGCCAATAGTTGAGCAAAATATCAGAATTGGGCTGCCTATGTAAACGCAGCCAAAGTGTGCTCAAATTCTCAGTTGCGTACCTTTGCCATCATGTCTGCATACGCAATATATAACGGATCTTCTTCCAAGAAACTGGAGAGAAGAACATATTATCTAATTATTATCATGACTTGTATCAGGTCAGTAAAGTAAATAACACAAATAGGTTAAGCTAACACAATTCTTATGTATTTAAGTAAGATTGGATAAAACACTTGTTCACTAGGTTGATTGTTTAATTGATCGATTGAGTGATTGGTTGATTGACTCCCTGTCAAAATAAAAGGTTAAATTAAAGAAACATTGGTAGATTGGTCATTCCCTCTCTTAGTCTCTTACATTACCTTCTCTCTGTGAGGGCGTTGTGGCTGAAGTGGAGGATAAGCTGATGAAGAGGGTCTGGCTGAATCTCAACCTCCTCCTCTTCCTCCTCCTCCACGATCTTCATCGGGGTTTTCTACACAGACGACCCGCAAGAGACAGGGGTTAGTTCTGTTCTTAACCTGGCCTTTCCAATAGAGACCACACCGCTGCTGGCTAAACCATGTCATTTACTCACCACTCAACTCTCACTACATCTATCGCATTATATTATATTAGTTATTCTGCATAGCTTCAAGCCATTACCTTTTTTGGACGACGTCCAACGTTTATGATCTCTGAGTCAGAGAGGTGGGCTAATGGGTTGTTTAACAGGACATGCATCATCATGGCCGTTATAGTCACACTGTTTATGGGACAACCCATGCTGGCATGCTCAGATGAGGGCTGTAATGGTGGTAATGATGCCGGATCAGGATTTTACTGATGATTGTATCCATGAGAAGGACAAGGATCGGGACACTGTCAAATGAATGGACCAGAGTATTGTTCAGTAGGGCACACCGTAGGAAAACTTTTTGAAAACAAAACTCTGTGTTCTAAGTACGGGGAATTCCTCTCCTTTTCACTCGGATTCAAAATGTTGTCTCCCTACTGAACAGGACCCGTCATTGAAAAATCATGCAGACTAACTGCCCCATTATATCTGTGTGTTAGAGATGTCGATGATGAGTATAATGTCAAAATACGTTCGTTACTCAACAAATATGTACTTCCAAGAAATGTCTAAATAAAAATGTACAAGCAACTGAAAATATGCCTTTTCGGCACCTCAAATGTATTGAGCTGGTGTAGACTTCCGACTGTGTGGCAGTCATGAGTGATTTACATTGGAGGTGCCGAATAGGCGTTTTTTTCCGGTTGCTTGTATTAACACCTTTTTTGGAAGCACATACCAGCAGTAACGGGAGTAAATGAAGATAGTTCCTCAGCGAAACTCCATATTTGGTGAGTAACGAACGTATTTTGACAGTATAACGCTTGCAGAGCTGTCTAACGGGAGTTTGAATCGGAGCTTCCTGGGCGTTAGAGAGGAGAGACGTCACACTCACCGTCGACATCTCTAACACACAGATACTGGGGCAGCAGGCTACTATGGTCCAACAGATGCAGCACTACTAAATGCAGTGTGTGGACAATGATGATGATGATGATGATGGTGATGATGATGAATGACATCGTGGTCTGCTCTTGTACATTCTTCCCCTGACATGTTTTATGACATTTTGCAGTACTGTATAAATATGTTTACCTTCCTTGCAACTGCACAACTATATTTACAGTGAGATCAATGAATTTCAATACTCGTCACAATACTGTATGAATCCAGACTGAGATGTGCGCGAGCATGCCACCGAAGACTTCACTTCACACTCCACTTGATCACTTCAACACTTCACTACAGACTTACAGTTACAGCAGAGACCATACCGTACAACATCTAGATGGTTGGGTCGACGTCAGACATCAAACAACTAACACCTATTGAGGGCTTTAGCCGCCCCTCTTACCACAGTAGTAGTAGTAGTAGTAGTAGTAGTGGTGAGATAGCCAATGCCATAGCCTGTTTTTGTAGCCACATGCTTTGCTGCGGAGACGGAGCCATTGCTGCCACTGAGTCTCCTGAGGTTGAGCCTGTCATGCCTGTCAAGACTCTGTCGGTAGCGAGCCACAAAGCTAGAGAGAGCGCGGGGGCCTCGGGAACCTCTGGGGGCCCAAGGCGAAGTCCCCAGACCCAGGCGGACCGGGAAGCGATCCCGATCCCGAAGCTCGACGGAGGGCATCGTGCTCAAGAGGCAGTCGGCGGAGAGGGCTGGTGGGGGTGCGGTGCCAACACAGGGCACAGGGGGCAAGGCAGAGGCTAGGGCTGAGGGGGTGGCAGACACCACCGCAATATGCCCAGTACTTACTGCCAGGTCCTGCACTAGCCTCTCCTCAAAGGAGTACTCCTCTGTCTCTATCCATAGTCTCACATAGCCCAACACGAAGAGGTTAATAGAACGATGCCTGGGGAAGGAGGGATGAGAGGAGGAGAGAGGGAGTGGAAGATGGGAGAATGAGGTTAAGGTGTGTCCAAGTAGATTTTGGAAGGGGGAGGAGTAAGGAGGGAGAGATGTGAGGGTGAAACAGGAAGGAAGAGCATTCCAGGGTGATGATTGGTCGATGTGGGAGCCACTGGCTCTTCTGACTGGTCATCCTTGATGGCTTAATTAGCATACAGAAACTGGCTGAGGATGTGGTTAAAATTACAGTATATCTAAAAACACTAAACACTGTATTCAAATATTATGTCAGTTAATAAATGATACATAAAGCTACAAAAATACAGTCATGATGTTACTCAAATCACATGAGACAAAACATTCCATATTCTAAGACATAATGACAATGATGATCTTTATGTAAACAAGCAAAATGCTTCCTGGATTGCTCATTGATTGACCACTGATTGGCTGTTAGCTGAGGCTGACCAATCAGAATCAACAGTGCAGTAAACCTGAGGTAGGTAGTGGCTCAGTCCATAGCCTGGAGGATAAGATGGAGGAGGGAAGAGAGATGAAGCATTCGCCTAGCCTGGGTGCCAGTCTGTTTGGCATGACACAATTCCACGAGGAGTTGGCAACAGAGCAGAAACAGGCTGACACTCAGGCTAGCATTCAGCCTGGAGTCTCACATTACCGTTAGCACGGAGAACAGGCGGTCAAAATTAGATTCAGCGAACGCCTTTTCCAGCCAAACGTACCGATAGCCGTTCAGGAAGTAATTGTTAATTTTGTATCTGAGGAAAAGGTGTTGTAGGTGGTATGCAACAGAGAGAAATAACAGAGAAGAAGGACAAGGTTAGGGAGGTGGAGACGGAGATAGTGTGTGGATACACTAGTAATAGCATGACACTGAGTGATACAGGACTGTAACGTCACATTTGATTTGATGGAGACAAAAGCACCACGAATGACGACTGAGGACTTTTTCCTGGGGTAGTTGTCACAGTTACAAAGTCTCAAACTCATATTCCTTTACGTATCTCATTTAGTTGACAGAGACAATTTAGGCCCCCAGTTTTATCCATCAGCGTACCTCTAATTCTCATCAGTAGTAAGTGTGATAGAGGCCTGTCTTACCTGGGTAGGTTGTAGAGTGGAGCCATGCGGAAGCAGGCCACCACGGCCCGTTTACGCTGTTTGGACAGCAGCTTCTGGAACACACACTTCTTCATCCTCAGAGGCTGCTCCACCTAGTGGGCAAAACATCACGTCTTACGGAAACATGTGCTTCTGTGGACGGAAATTCCTCAGAAAAAATCGAAGGTAACATTTCGGTGTTCCTCAAGGCTTAGTTCTCGGACCACTTCTGTTCTCATCACATATACAACCCCTTGGTGGTTGCTCGGAAACAGTGTCACATGTCAACAGCTAGCTGGAGGACACACAACTGCACATTTCATTGAAAGATGATGAAGCTCCACAATCGGTCTGCAATCCACCATTTGATTGTTATAATCCACACTTTGATTGTTAAAATCCACACTTTGATTGTTAAAATCCACACTTTGATTGTTAAAATCCACACTGTGATTGTTAAAATCCACACTGTGATTGTTACAATCCACACTGTGATTGTTAAAATCCACACTGTGATTGTTATAATCCACACTGTGATTGTTATAATCCACACTGTGATTGTTATAATCCACACTGTGATTGTTATAATTCTATTACTAAATCCTTATTCTGTACTATGTATTTGATGCTACGTTTGTAAACAGGGCAACCTTGCCGGGGGCGGCAGTTAGCTTAGTGGTTAAGAGCGTTGTGCCAGTAACCGAAAGGTCGCTGGTTCTAATCCCCGAGCCGACTAGGTGAAAAATCTGTCGATGTGCCCTTGAGCAAGGCACTTAACCCTACTTGCTCCTGTAAGTCGCTCTGGATAAGAGCGTCTGCTAAATGACTAAAATGTAAAAAAAATTAAAAGAGACATACGTCTCAATGGTAAAATAATGTAATAAACAACAGACTTTATAGAGTGGTAACTGTGGACTGTAGGGTACCTGCTCCAGGTGGAAGACTGCAGCAGAGATGCTCTGTATTCTGTCCACAGTTTGTTCTGGGTCTGTAGGCTCCTCACTCCCCACCACCACATCCTTATACAGGTTCATCTGCCACTGCACTGCCAGGTCATCAGACTTTAAAAACACACACACAAAGCGTTAGACACGTGACATATAATTTGTCAATTCATAATGGTTACATCACTTCAACATTAGAACAACAACTGATTGTGTTTTTTTTCAGTTGGGTATCACTGAAACTACATCTGAAAATGTTTACAAATGCTGCTGCATTTGAATGTCCTGGTCTGCTGAATACACGAGGAGGAGTACTGCTGAGGTTACAGACTTAACTCTACTGGGGCACAGAGTAATGACCAGCGGAGATACAAAGTACACACCGTGCGGAATTACAGATCATTTTACATTTCCCCAGCCTACCTTGTCCTGCAGATGGAGGTTCTCACGCAAGTGATCCTTCACCTCATCGTCTGTGTCTTTCTGTTGGAGGGAAACAGGATGGAGTGGGAAATTACTCTCAGTGAGAGAGTGGGTTAAAAACATTCCAAAATGGCTAGGGATAGGTCTGGCTATCTGTGAATACAGACGTAGTGTGATCACACGTCGATACGCTACTTCACATGATCATTGAAGACTTTAGGGATATGATAGTACTGTATCTCACCAGACTGTATCGTATCTTGGCCAGTGATATAAGCTCCTGGTCTCCAGGGGTGCACATGTTGAGTCCGATGGGCAGCATCTTCTTCAGGGCGGCTACGATCAGAGAGGTCTGGACAGAGTATAACTCTCCACGCCGCTTCTTGTGCTTCCTATCCTGGTCACCACCTGACTGTATAGATAGATAGATAGATAGATAGATAGATAGATAGATAGATAGATAGATAGAGAGATAGAGAGAGAGAGAGAGAGAGAGAGAGAGAGAGAGAGAGAGAGAGAATCAGGTTTTTCAGAAATCCTGGTTGGATGATTCCTGGAATTGTGAGGGAATAAGCAGGGATCTCTGGAAGCTTCCACCAGGAATTCTGGAAAACCACAGGGAAAGAGCTTCTGTGCAGGCCTTTCTTTACTCACTACTGGCTAAACTAACTCCTGCTCCGTCCTTACCTTGGACATCTTGGTCTTACTTTCCCCAGTCAGGAAAGACAGGTTATTGATTTCGTTCTGAACCACAAAGTTCTGCTCTTCCCTTTTGAAGTTCTGTCGACGGGTCAGATGGTAAAGAAGGAAAGAAACAAGAAGAATGTCAATCTTCAAACAGAACTTGAAAATAAATTAACATACTGTATGTAGTATTCTAAAGTGAAAAGTCTTACGTGTGATTTGCACCAGAGAATGAAGATCTCCGCCACCATGGTGAAGAGCTCGTTGGACTGAGCATCAGGCCTCTTCAACCACCTGGACCTGGTGGGGGTTTGACAGACGTTTTCATGAGAAGTGGACTAAAGAAGAGGTGAGGCCATAGCTATAACCATCTGTTGTGTTATGTAGCCTAGATCCCAGGATATGCAATGGGGAAATCTGCAGGTCCCAATCCCAAATTAGAAAGATTGGAACCATCTAATCTCATTATGATCTCCTGAAATAAATAAAGGATAAATAAAAATTATTCTAATTACATACAAGTACAGTACATGGCATCATTCTAAATCAATTCAGTCAAAATGGAGTCAAGGCCTCCAGATTTCCCCGAACCTAAACAACAGATGTGTGTGTTGGAAAAGGTTGGCTGGGTTATACTACCTGTTGTTGTCCACATAGCGGATGAGCATTGGGTAGAAGGCGTACAGGTCTCTACAGAGGACAGCAAACTCATCCAGGATGAGAAGCTCAGCTTCCTGAGTGTCTCCTTTAATGTCAGCCTTCAGCAGCTCCTCCTCTGCCACCACCTGGGGTTAGAACATATTAATAACACAGTTATAACATAGTAATAACATAGTTAACGCCTTTACAACATAGTAATAACATAGTTAACACCTTTACAACATAGTAATAACATAGTTAACGCCTTTACAACATAGTAATAACATAGTTAACGCCTTTACAACATAGTAATAACATAGTTAACGCCTTTACAACATAGTAATAACATAGTTAACGCCTTTACAACATAGTAATAACATAGTTAACGCCTTTACAACATAGTAATAACATAGTTAACGCCTTTACAACATAGTAATAACAGAAGCTCAGCTTCCTGAGCGTTTCCTTTAATGTCAGCCTTCAGCAGCTCCTCCTCTGTGACCCCCCCAGGGTCAGGGATACGTTCTTATCGGAACCTGTACTGCTTGCTTTCACCGACATG